TAGGGTTTTTTGCCCCCAGTGCTTCCCTTAAAAGTCTGTTCCAGAACTTCACTCCTCTGATGGCTAGAAAACTTGGTCTAATTTCAAGCCTAAACTTGTTGATGGTCAGTTTATATCCATTTATTTTTGTGTCAACATTGGCGCTTAACTTAAATAACTCTTCTCTCTCGCTGGCATTTATCCCTCTGATGTATTTATAGAGAGCAATCATATCTCCCCTCAGCCTTTGTTTGGTTAGGCTAAACAAGCCAAGCTCTTTGAGTCTCCTCTCATAAGATAGGTTTTCCATTCCTCTGATCATCATAGTAGCCCTTCTCTGCACTTGTTCCAGTTTGAATTCATCTTTCTTAAACATGGCATGGGAGACCAGAACTGCACACAGTATTCCAGATGACGTCTCACCTGTGCCTTGTATAATGGTACTAACACTTCCTGCTCTCTAGGAAATACCTCACCTGATACATCCTAGGATTGCATTAGCCTTTTTCACAGCTGCATCCATATTGGTGGCTCATAGTCATCCTGTGATCGACCAATACACCCAGGCCTTTCTCCTTGTCACTTCCATCTCCTGGCAGCAGGTTCCACAGGTTGACTGTGCATTGTGAAGAAGTACTTCCTTATGTTTCTTTTAAATCTGCTGCCCATTAATTTCATTGAGACACCCTGGTTCCTGTGCCTTATTCACTTTCTCCACGTTGTTATTTTATAGACGTCTTTCATATTCCCCTCCCTTAGTTGTTTCACTTCTAAGATGAACAGCCCCAGTCTTTATAATCTCTACTTAGATGGAAGTTGTTCCATACTCCTAATAATTTTTGTTTTCATTCTCTACTTTTTCCAATTCTAATATATCTTTTTTGAGAGGGGGCTACCAGTAGTACACTCTGTATTTTAGGTGTAGGTGTACCATGCATTTATATTGTGGTATTATGATATTCCTGTCTTACTATTGATCCCTTTCCTAATGCTTCCTATTATCTTTTCTGACTGTCATTGCACATTAAGCAGATAAGCTAGGGTTTCCCAAACTGGGGGTCAGGATCCCTCAGGGGGTCGTGAGGTTATTACGTGGTGGGGGGGGTCGCGAGCAGTCAACCTCCACCCCAAACTTCACTTCGCCTCTAGCATTTATAATGGTGTTAAATATATAAAAAAGTGTTTTTAATTTATTGGGGGGAGGGGTCGCACTCAGAGGCTTGCGATGTGAAAGGGGTCACCAATAAAAAAGTTTGAGAACCACTGAGATTCATTCTCTCTCTCTCTCTGAGATAAATTTTTATCCCATAAAGGTTTATATATTAGTATAGCTTATTCTTGTAGAGATACATTTATAGCAGTACAAAATTGTTGAAACCAGTCCTTGTACACATGGGTGTCATCTTGTTGTATCCTCATACTGCTGCCCATCACATCTGTGCACATCTGATTGTCTGAACAATCGCAAGTGGGGCTGCATCAGGAGCCTTAAGGTGGTAGTCCTGTTAGCCTTAAAAGTTGCAAATCCTGCTAAACACCTCATACACCCATGGTAAGAGACTGAGATTTTTGTTACCTCTTTCCCACTCTTCCCCAAGGAACTTGCTGCCAGTATTATCCCTGAGCTGCTACAAGTATTGTGTCTTTGTGTTCTGTGGGTCCCTCCACATTTTATGCATGGGGATTCTTGAGCATTAATATGGCTTTTATTCCCACTCCAAACCTTCAGCTCCATCTGCAGGAGGTTGGTCTTCCCGGGTGACACTGGATAAGGGGGAACTTGTGTTTTGGGAGCCGCTTGACTAACCAAAATAGGGATGTCTGCAGGAGATAGCTTTGGCTGCCCATAGTCATTGTCAGACTGAATGAGGTTGTGACTGGCTGGGTCTCTGTGACACTGCTGGCCTTCTGAGCACACTGATATAATTAGGTTTGGCAGAAGTTGATTTTTATTTTTTATAATTTTGACAGATGATGTTGATTATTTTTAAGCATTTTATTTTTATCTATTTTAAATTTTCACATTTGTGCAAATTTATGAGGTGTAGACAATAATGACGGACATTGAGATTGTAAAAGTTAAAGCTTTACAACCCTTAACACAAAAATTGCCAACATCTTGTGTTTAAAATATACAAAGTAAATCTCCTTAAATCAAACTCTAAAAAATTCTCAAGTGGCATTTTTTTCCTTTGCCTATCTGTAATTTCAATTATTTTGGATGGAAATATTTTTTCATTGATTTCACTCTACACAAAAACCAATGTTTACTGACATTTACTGTTAATCTAATCCTTCCAAGTTTAGACATAATCTTTGGCAGGAGTCACATCTTGCACACTTGTGGACTGCTTTTATGTGCATGTGCACATAATTTAGTATGGACACAGGGATAGTGGAATAAAAGTGCCTTATACCAGTTTAGCTTATTTCCTTTCCCGTATGGACAAGCTGCATCCACATTAGGTGATTTGTACTGCTTTAACTGTATCAGTATGGTTTAAGTGTTAGTTTACTTGTGTAGATAAGTCCAAAGCCTCAGTTGCATATCTGTGTGCCTTACTCTTGAGATACACGTTACTTGTAAATCTGTTCTTAAATATTTATCACCACAACTTAAACAGACTTAAAAATAAATGCATTAGCATCTCAGGCATTCTTCTTTACTTTGTATTTTTTGAGCTTAGCTTCCAAAACAACAGTTGAGGAAAGGGAATTTATGGTACCCAACTGTGGTCTATCGAGCACTTACAGCCTAGAGAGCTGGCTCTCCTTTTTTCTAGCTGCTTCCGCAGTGTCCATGCAAATAATTTGAACTACTTATACTCCTATGCTGGATCCTAAACTGGCTAACCCCTCAGGAAAAAGAGTTTAATCTCATTATAGGCAGCTTAAGGAAAACTTCGGCTCAATGCTAGTGGCTACATAAGTCAGTTTATAATAAGTCACGAATAAGAAGTCAGCCTAGCTGCTTTTGCCATTGGCCTGTGCTGTGCAGAAAGAGGAAACAGGTGGTGCTCTCCATGACTGGAGTGGGACTAGATTTGCTACCAACCAGCAGGAGAGGACAGAACAAAGAACAGAATAAGAGGAGAATAGAAACTATTGTGTATTTCCCTCAACTTTCCACAATCTTTAAACGCCTGCAGCTGAAAGCATAATAATCTTCTGTTTAATTTTATAGCTATTGCTTTAGACCTCAAAGATAGTGGATTTAATTCAGGAAATTGTTGTAGTGATTTATGCAAATATGATTGGTGCTCTTCCCCACCACAGCCACCACCACTCATCTTCAAAGAACACATGTTGCAGTTTAAAACAATATAATCCTGCAAGTATCTACATTAACAATCTGCAACTAAAATTAAGATTACAAAGTAATTTACTCACTGGCTGTCCAGAGTTTGCAAATTCTGAGGTTGTTTATAAGGATTATAGTGTCAAAGCCATTTTCAGTTTGTAACTAACACCTCAAAAATCAGTTGTTCCAAGGGAAGGACTCTGGATTTAAAGAGAAATTACAAATCTTGTAATTTCAAGAAACTCATGTTCAATGTAGTTACTGCACATCTACAAATAAGTATATAATCCACTGTAAACCCACATCTATTTTAAACTTGCAGTCAATTTCCTTGAATTTGCAGGCTCAAAAAAAGGTTGTGGGAAGGGAAGAGAAGGACTTCTTGAATTATAAGAAAGACAATCTTAGAAGCTAATTTATGCAAAACTTTTTATTAATTGCTTATCCTGAGAGGGCTTGAGGACCCCAGCTCAAGGCATCTACACCGTAGTTGGAAGACATTACACTTTTGCATGGATATATTTCCACAAAACAGACTTGGTTAAAATTATATTGGTTAACTTCACATTGGACTAATCTGCAGTGTGGCAGGAGTTGACCACAACAGCTGTTTGCGTCACAACTTATTTAGTATGCCTTTAATATCTAATTTTTCTTGCTGTCTTTGGATCTTTCAGTGTCTGTTCCCTCTTCAGTTTATTTATCTTTTCTGTCTTTGGGCTGAAATTTATCATCCTCGTTCTTATCTCAAGGATGCACAGAGAAAGATTAACTAAAAATCACCACCTGAGCTATTCAGTCATGCATAGACATGGCAATTGTACTTAAAGGAAACCTGGATGTTTTTGTGGTAATGACCTGGCATATATAGTTCTTAGTGCAGACCATTTTTGGAGGATGGTAGTGAAGGAACTGGTTGAGTAATGAAATTATTTGATAACATTAAGTTCTGAAAATCTTCATTGTGGGAGTTATGCTGTGTCATCGAGATACTGAATCTTTTTGAAGTAGTTAATCCCAGAGGTGGTGTACAAATGTCCCCTAGGATCAGAAAACAGGATATAAAATATATAAAAATTTGGGGTTTTTTAAGTGTAATTCTGATTAAGTGCTGATGTAGCCCTCAGTGATGTGAGGAAAGTGCATAATCACATAAAATTCAGGGCCTGCAGTTAATTAATTGCTTTTCTTCCTGAGTAATGTGAGAAAATGCTGTTGAAACTCAGATCCTGTCTACAGTAGGAAAGTGACCCACAGTAGTTCAGATTTCAGTAATGGATCTTCTCAGTCCCCTTCTCCTGTCTGCGCATCACCAACAAAAATTGGCTTAAACTAGATTGGAAGAATATAAAAAAAGGTTGTTCGGGCTTATCTGTGCTTGCATCCAAACAATTTTCCTCCCCAGTCAAGGAGAGTATATTCCACAGTAGAAATCTTTTGTAATCTATGGTTCGCTTCCTTGTATAGACAAGGTCTTACTAATGCAGGTGACCAAACTTGGAAACTGGGGTCTTGGTTAACTGGTTAATTTTTAAGGGAACCTCAATACCCAACTCAGCAACATGCTTGCTCTGACTCACTTGACTCTTCGTGTGTTAGATCTTGTGGATGGATGGAGGCACTTTTATTGAGGGGAGGTCAGACATTTACTTACATGTGGTTAATTATAGCTGTGTTTTAAGTTCTGGTATAAACTAGAAAATTTTTGTGCTTTTGTTAGGATGTGGGTGGAAGTCATCACAAAGTTTCTATTTCTCCTGTCGTCCATGTCCGGGGACTCTGTGAATCAGTCGTAGAAGCGGACCTTGTGGAGGCTCTTGAAAAATTTGGAACCATATGGTATGTTGACAGTAGTAAAGCCATGTCTCTGGTGGCTCAAGGCAGGTTAGGAGCTTTGGTGGTAAGATTGCTTTTGAGAACAAAGCTAAATGATCTGCTAGACTTGTAATGACATCCCTAATCTCAAAATGGCCATTTTTATCAATAATTAAGTCGGTAGCACAGGAATACTGAACTTCTTGGCAATGTCTCTAACTGCAGGCATGGTACTTTCTATACACAAGATGGCTAATCAAATAAAGTCTCATTATTGTACATTCAACGCTGCATGTCTGCAGTCAGACTTTCAATAGTTAACAATAAGAATAGTTATGCTAGAGTTATAGGTTTCTCTCATTCTGATACTGTGTCAAAGCTTTGATCTCTTTTTGCTATTTTCACTTGACCATCCATGATCTTTTACTAGCTACAGTTTAAAAACATTTGTTTTGGAAGTAAAATCTTCAGCTAGTTATAGTTTTAGCAGGGCTAGTATATGTCATTCATATCCGCTAGTTGTGAACATTACAAGCTTTAGTAGACTAATATTTAACTCTTTATATTCTGAAAACACTATTTGTTGCTTATCTAACTTACTGATAAATTGTTTAACTTTATTGTACAAATGTACTTTATAATTATAGTTACATGACTTGATTTAGGAAATGGAATGAAAGTTACTCACTTATGAAGGGAGACCAGCTGTCTTACACTAGGGAATTTTTTTTTTTATTAAATTAACATCGTTCCATTTATGACAAGCAATCTTAAGAAAAAGCGTATCAGGAGAACTTACTCTGTGTTTTTCTCCTGACCAGCTATGTCATGATGATGCCATTTAAACGCCAGGCTTTGGTGGAATTTGAAAACATAGAAAGTGCCAAGAAGTGTGTGACATTTGCAGCAGATGAGCCAGTGTATATTGCTGGACAACAAGCTTTTTTCAACTATTCTACAAGCAAAAGGATCACTCGGCCAGGGAACACGGATGATCCATCAGGTGGAAACAAAGTTCTCCTATTATCAATTCAAAATCCTCTCTACCCAATTACAGTGGTATGTTTCTTTAATTTTTTTTAAAAAACCTTTCAACTTCACTTCCAGTGTATACCCTTTATTGTTATAATTATGTATTATGGGTATCCATTTAAGCTGTTTAATATGCAGTCAGTTTTGGTGTATTTTTTGTTACAACAGTGAATTCAAGTTAAGCACATACATACATATCAGACTTCTCCAGAGATGCAACCAGTACTTAGGATGCATCCATTTGTATGAAGGTACAGTTTATAAGACCTTGTGTTATATATCCAAAACATTGGTTATGCTATTAATATTCTATCAGAGCAAGTTATTATGAGCAGAAAACAGTCCAACAGAACTCTCTCAATCACAAATATTCCGAACGGCTTAAAAGCTGAATGCCATTCCCCTTGTTATAGCAATACGTTTGCAATGTCTTTCAGAAAGTATGTAGTAACTTATAATATTTCAAAATCCTGGCCACTGAACCCTTTAGACATTGCATAACACCTTTGAAGCAAGTTGGGATGAGCACAGCTATTACGCAATATCTTTGAAGACTTCTGTTTTGTCAGCTGTACACTTAACCCTAGCAGGCAATCTACTAAAACCATAAAAAAGGCCACACTGGGTCAGATCAATGGTCCATCTAGCCCAGTATCCTGTCTTCTGACAGTGGCCAATGCCAGGTGCTTCAAAAGCAATCATCGAGTGATCCATCGATGATTATTAAAAGTTACAATTACTTGGACACATATCAGACATTTATATTCAAGTGTATTCTAAAAAAATCCCACTTTCTCTTTATTCCCATTACAGGGCATGAGACCCTGGAGTCTTGACCATGGGTGTTATCTCACTATTTAACTGGCTTATTTTCTAGCTATCAGTTGATTAGAAACCCAGGCAATAGATTGTCTGGGTTTTGTGATGTCACAATTTGTCATTGCATAAAACATCCCTCTTTACTTTTGATATGGTAACCCTACTTTTGTGGCCTGAGCTATCTCCTGGAGTGAAACCTAATACTTGTGTGAATGCTTCCTTTAGTGAGTCTTAAACTTTTTGTATTGGCGAACCCTTTCACACAGCATGCCTCTGAATGCAACACCCTCCCTCCCCCCATCTCCCTTATAAATTAAAAACAGGGATTTTTAATTTAATTTCATCTTAATTTAATTTAACGTGGGCATGGGGCTGACAGCTCATGACCTCCACGTAATAACCTTGTGACGCCCTTTGGGTTCGCAACCCCCAGTTTGAGAACCCCTGGTTAAGAGGTTATGTACTTTAGAAATTGAAAACAGACAATCTTCCTTTGAGGGAGTTGACTGTTCTCGATTGTGATACAGCAACATAAGGAAAAATCATCATCTTTTAAAGTTAACATTTCTTAATGTACATATAAAGTAGCTATAATTTGATAAATAACTGGGTTTATCCTTCTTTGAGATTTAAACGCTGATATGGTGAAATTTACTCCATGAACAAACACATGCATATACCTTGAAGTCCTGTAGAACACTTGTGAATCTTCATAAAAATGTCAAACTTGAAATGTCTCTCTAAAATAGCTTTTCTTCTTCATTTATAGGATGTCTTGTATACTGTGTGCAACCCTGTTGGGAAAGTGCAACGTATTGTTATATTCAAGAGAAATGGAATACAAGCAATGGTTGAATATCCTTTTATTAATACTGATATTTGTATGTTCTCAGCTGCAGATGAGACTTAAGCATGCAGATATCAGTAAGATTTTACATTAATATTGAGCTCTACAAATTTGAGAATTAGTCGATTCAAGATGCTTTGTCATTTCCAGTGTATGAGCAGATAAATCTGCACCAAAATATTGCCACTTTTAAATCACATCTTTGTTCATTGTTTTTATATGCTGGGCTAAAAGTAACCCCTAAGATGAATGTTACATACAGGCTAATCATTTTTGTGCATTTGGGAGCACATTGTGTAAAGTCAGTTTCATGGTTTTCCCCATTAAAAAGATGCTGCAAACTGAATGGTCTGTTGTGCTGGGTGCTGCTGAATCTAGACCGTCTGGCACAGCAGACCACTAAATATAGGGATCGAGGAGGGAGGGGGACACCCTGACATAAGCCATCCTCTAGATCTCTGCAGGCATTTTGTATGCTCTTGTGCTAGTCTCCAGAGAACTAAAATCTCAAAATATATAAAGAATGTGATTTTTTTTTTCCATGTATTGAGCCTAGCATGTTGAAGGGACACTTGTCTTGCAGGCTGTCGTCTCCACCACTGGGCAATGAAGTTAAAGCAAATTTCTCTTTAATCTCAGGCCACAAATACAGTGTCTGTTGTCAAAAATGTCCATTTGAGGTCTCTTGCTTGTCCATCTACAAACACAATGTTTGACTAACAAATCCAAACACAAGAAGTCTCTCTCAAACTTCTTTTCCCTGGTTCAGTGGTAGAATTTTTCTTGGAAGTGGCAGACTACTCAGATCTTTCCCTTTTTATATCCTCAGTTCCTTCCATGCTAGGGTGATAGAGTTCATGTCTGTCCAGGCCTGGTTTTAGTAGTACTAAGGGGAGATACCAACTCCAGCTGCCTTGTTCAAGGGTTTAGTTTGAACCTTGTCCTTGCTTACCATGGCACAGTCATTTGCAGTATTTGTCAGTAATGTGCTGCATCCGCATACTCTGATTAGTGTGTAGTAAGCCTTAAGTTTTAGGCTTGCCTACACAAACATTTAGTTTGCACCAAGTTGGGGTGTGAATCTACCCTGCAGTAGCCTGTCACAGACTGCTTGTCTGTGTGAACCCTGCTGATGTGCGTTAACAAACTGTTAAGGTGCATAAGCAGGGTCCACAAGGGACAGTTGGTGTGTGGCAGGGTAGATTCACACCTAGCTTGCCATAAATTACATGTTCATGAACACAAGCTCTTAGAACAGGGGTGGGCAAACTACGGCCCACGGGCCATATCTGGCCCATCAGGGCTTTGGATCCTGCCCACAGGATTGCCAGCCCCGCACCACTCCCAGAAGCAGCTGGCACCACAGCCCCTGGAGGAGGGGGGGCAGAGGGCTCCGCATGCTGCCCTTGCTTGCAGGCCCCCTGCAGCTCCCATTGGCCGGGAACGGGGAACCACGGCCAGTGAGAGCTTCGGGGGAGGTACCTGCAGGCAAGGGCAGCACGCGGAGTTCTCTGCCCCCCACCCCAGGGTTCCACAGGGACATGGTGCCGGCCACTTCCAGGAGCGGCGTGGGACCAGGGCAGGCAGGGAGGGAGCTTGCCTTAGCCCGCCGCCACCCCAGAGCTGCTCCAGGTAAGTGACGCTGGGCCAGAGCCCACACCCCAAACCCCTCCTGCACCCCGTGCCCTGAGCTCCCTCCTGCACCCCGTGCCCTGCCCTGAGCCCCCTCCTGCACCCCGCACCCTTCCTGCACCCCAACCCCTTGCCCTGAGCCCCTTCCTGCACACCGCGCTCCCTCCCGCACCCCTGCCCCAGCCTTACATTCATGGCCCTGCATGCAATTTCCCCACCAAGATGTGACCCTCGGGCCAAAAATTTGCCCACCCCGTCTTAGAAAATCAGCTGAAATGTCCACTTCCATTTTCACTCAGCTGTAGGGTGTCCACCATTTAGCAGTTGGATAAGCTCTCAGCACAGAGAGACCTGTGTGAATAAACTAAAGCTTTCAGTGAACCTGCATAGGCTGTAAGCAGAATGAGTCTATTCTTAATTCATGAAACCGCTCAACCTGGGCTGCATACACTTCAAAGGCAGGGACCATATGGTTCAGGCTGCAGCTGAGAACTTGAATTGCCAGTGCTTTCCAGCAGTTTTAAACTAGTGTGTCTGTTTAGATCTCTCATTTATTCCTAACAGAGTAACTGTAGGTTGCTCTAAAATGTCTTGGGTTGCTTCAGTATTTTGGAGGGGGAAAAACACATCTTTACTTAAAAACAAAAAAATCCTTAACAAGATTTATGTTTGAATCAGTTCTCTGTGCTCAGAAGGCTAAAGCAGCACTCAATGGAGCAGATATATATGCAGGATGCTGTACACTAAAAATTGAATATGCAAGGGTAATGCTCAGATCTTCTCTATTAACTATTTTACTGATGAAGTGCATAAGTTCAAGACTTACCCTGTGTTTAAATTTTAACAGCCAACTCGACTTAATGTCATTAGAAACGACAATGATAGTTGGGACTACACTAAACCGTATCTGGGCAGACGAGGTAGGTTTTTTTTATATGTTATAGCTGTAAGTGTTTGACTATGCTAATGACACTACTTTATACATGGTTAGCTTGTGTAATGCAATAGTCATTTCAAACAAGCCGTTGGTGATGAAGGCTGTCTTGCAAAGGCCAACACGTAATCCAGGAAAAAAGTAACATTGAACGTTAGTGCCCCCTACTGGTGTACAATGAGCTATTTAGTTCAACAAGGAGCCCATACATGCAAGCATGTTCGCAGTACAAGGACTTGCATTTCTCCAAGCAGCTCTCACTCTTTGGAGGAGAGGAAACTGATACAGACTATTCCTTACAAACTACAAACTTGCACACTGCTTCTCTATGGAAAGGACTTTTTCCCCTATGTTGGACAAGGCATTAAGAAGGATAGAGGACTCCAGCAGGCTGACTCTACACTTCATCATGCACTACATCGGCATCAGCAAAAAGCCCTCTGAAAAAACTCAGACTTGCAATTCACCTTGTCTGCATACTACATGCACCACCACCACAAGTTTTTAAAGGAGGACACTTAAAGTACTTCAGATTTGCATGGGATGAATACCATGATAGACTGTACCCATTCTGTTCAAGTTTTTATGTATATTGGTCTTATTTCCCTTAATTACAATTGCAACATTTAAGAACCTCCATAAAATGGTAAATCCCAAATTTCTTGTTGATCTCATCTACATTGTTGTAATACTCTTATTTTATTCCTTGCTGTATTTAAGACAACTGCAGTCAGTCTTTACAGTGTAAATTGTCTCATAGTAAGTAAACTGAAGGATTTATCTGTAGTTAACTGGGATTAATAATACAATATTAAACAAGCTCCCTCAGGCATATTAAATTTAAGTATTTGAAGCAAGGAGGTGCACACATGGTGCATGTGTAACTTGTCTCTTCGGTTCTTAACTGTGAAAACTAGTCAGAGCTTAACGCTTTATAGTGAAAATATGACTAAAAATGTAAAAGACAAAATGCTGTGTAGCCTGACTTCTGTAAAGTATTTAAAGTATTCTCTTTTTGTAACTGTTCAGTGACTTGTATACAATAATAGTTTTTCTATAATGTAATCTTTAGAAATCTAGGAGTGCATAACATGGAGGTGGAAACATAACATGTCTAACCAAGGTAGAGTATCTTCAAAGTCTTAAATATGAAAGCAAGGGCTTTGATTCTCTCTGATGAGATGCACTCTCAAACTTACATTTTTGTAGAAATGTTGAGTGTTATCAGTAGTGGTTTGGCTTGTAAAACTGTTGTATAATTAAAAATGCAGGTTTTGGATTTTCAAAATGAAGTTCTTGTAAAAGGTTAACAAGGGAGCTACAGTATTGGTTGATGATAGAATTTAAATATTTGAACCATAATTCAGAAACTCATTCTTAAGTAGTCAGGAAGTATTAAAGAAAATTAAAATTGAGAAAAATGTTTAGAAACTGACAGCAAAGAAACTGCAGGAATGAAAAAACCTGAAAGATTAAGTGGATTGTCAGTTTCTTAACCATTGCAATTTATATTACAGCTGCCTTTATGGCATCTAGTCTCAAATTTGACAACCTTTATTTCATGTAATTATGTTACAAACAGATATGACTGTATGGACCAGGGGTTCCTCCAGCAAATGAAGCAGTGGGAGATGAGAAGCTTCTCACCAGCATAACTCGGGCCTAAAAAATGCACAGCTCTGTTTCTCACTCCTTTTTCTTATTATTATTTTTAGTTCAGTTGCTTGAATATCTTTGTCATCTACATATTGACACTACATCCCTTCACACCATGTAAGAGGAAAGGGAATTAAATCTGTACTATCCAGCTGTCCCTTTGTAGTGTTGTTTTTCTCTTTCTGTTGCACACATCTCTTGATCCAGAAAGTAATCTATAGGGGAGTACACAAATAGGTGAACTCTACCTCCCTGAGCCAGTTTTTATCCAGTGAAGCAGGCGCATAGAGCAGTTACTGCCCAATTGTCCCAGCAGTTCCTCTCCATACTTCATGTAACATGCCAACTGTTCCACATGCACTCTTCAGGCCATTCCTCTTCCTGAAGTTCTGATGGTGCTACGTGCTCTTTGAACTTGCTGTACCCAGACTGCAAGATTCTAGCTTCAGCAAACAAGATCTTATCCCCAGGGAACTTCGTTCTGAGGCTTGGCTTGCCACTGTGTACTCCACAGCAGTAAAAGTTCTCAAGAGAAATAGCATTTATTTCTTGGTTCCCTTGTAGGCTGAGGTACCCCCAGTCTCTTCTGAAATTCTCAGAAGACCTAGACTATTGTTTCAAAACTAGCTTCTTTCATTTCAGCTTCTCTTTTAGGTCAGTCTAAACAGCAGTTGCGCACCATTGTTGAAATCCTGGACCATGAGAGTTTTGCCACTGTTTTAAGTGGAGACAGGATTCCACCTCATGTCTGTCCGTTTTAGGGTACAGAGGACACATTTTCCTGCTTCTGTTCTTAAGAATGAACTATTTCTAGTCCTGTATGGTCAGAAGATCCTTTTTTTTCTTTTCTTCCTCTAAGAGCATTCTCCACTTATGCAGGCTTTTTAAGGAATACCTACAAATATGAGGGGAATATATTCTTGGATTGCATGTATGCTGTCATCAGGTGACTGATTGAGGAGAGATGTCTTTTCCTTCTGGCCAACAGGGGACTGACCCCTTTCACGTTTTTGCCATTTACTATGAGACCAGTGCTGCATAGGTGTTCCCTCTATTAAAGATAGAGCTCTTTAACAGCTAGCCACTGTACCAGTTAACCTGCGTAGGTCCAAGAGAATAGAACCCCAGGCTGGGATTTTACACCTAACTTTTCATCTCTGCTCTCTGAAAGAGGTCTTATGTCAAAGGGGCTTTCTATAGGCCAAAGAGCTGTGTGGGAGCATTCCTCATCCTCCCTTGATTTTTATTGACAAGGTAATCATCTAGCTAGGAACCTATCCTCAACATCTTAGGTGGAAATCACATAATTTCTCATCTCCCTTTGTATGCTGTCATAGAGGTTAAGCTCAGCAGTTCAAATTACTTGGGGAAAACTCTAACTGTAGTGGGCTGGAGAGTCAATTTCCATCATTCAGTCATATTTAAATAGAACGATAATTACAGCAAACTTAAACATTTCACCACATCTTTGAATATGGCACTTCAAGAAATGGTTTATTAACAAAACACAGTGAGAAATGTTCTTTAAAATTATCTGCTGCTTACCAAAAGAGTACTTGGGAGTTCACATTTTTCCAGTACGCAGCAGTCACTAATTAGAAATGACCCTTTTGAAAGTGGTGCACTGCTTCCATCCAGTAATGTTGACCCCTTGCTTAACTTTAGATTGTTATATGAAACCGGTTTGCTCAAAGGACTGTCCATTGTTGAAGTGCATTATTCTGATATTTTACAACAATTGAAATATAACCTGTGATGCAGCATGAATAATGCAGTAATGTACAATCCTTTCAGCACTCCCAGTAGGTGTTCATGTAAATATAGTGTACACATATGTAATGCTCTCTGTTTACTGATTGTAAAACCATGTAATACAGGTTGTTGTTGGCTTATGCTGAAACTTCTTGAAAGAAGCCCACTTTGAAAATGTGTTGCTGTTGAAGCTAATAGTAGGATTCAGGTACTGTTTTTCAAAAGTACTGTATTTAAAACTTGTTTTAAGACATGCATAGGTAAATCCTACTCTAAAATGTTACCTATAGTATTGTGTGATGTTGCTTTAGGAAAATTTTCAAGTATTCCCATAAATTTAAAGTGTCTGTACCTTTTCTTTGCCAAAAAAAAATCTCAACTTAAGTGGAATTTGTTATGCAGACAACCTCTTCTTAATTTTGGTGTCCTCTGATGACAGCTTGTGTTTAAAAACTGATTTGAATGGGTAATTTTAAGTTAACCATGAATCAAATTACTTTTTTCCCCTTATTAGATGAAACTTATATCTTAATTTGAGGATTAGTGTGTACGTGTCTGTTTGTTAAAACTGCTTTTTTCCTGTATATTAGACAGAGGGAAGGGCCGCCAGAGGCAAGCCATTCTGGGAGAACATCCTTCATCATTTAGACATGATGGCTATGGTAAGTTACATGGGGTGGCAGATGGTTCGTGGTTTCTAGTTTTTTGTATGGTGGAATTACAGATATTTATAGGTTACAAGGTTCTCAAACTTCATGGCACCGTGACCCCCTTCTGACAAAAATTACTTCACGACCCCAGGAGGGGGACCAAAGCCTGAGCCTGCCCAAGCCGTGCTGCCCCGGGTGTGGGGCCCAAGCCGCACCGCTCTGGGCGGGGGGCCCAAAGCTGAAGCTCAAGGGCTTCAACCCCAGGCAGGGGCCTGTAACCTGACCCCGCTGCCCAGGCCTGAAGGCCTCCAGCTTTGGCTTCGGCCCTGGGCAATGGGGTTCGGGCTTCAGCCCCAGACCCCAACAAGTCAAAGTCAGCCCAGGCAACCCCTTTCAAAGGGGGTCCTGACCCACAGTTTGAGAACCACTGGCACTGAAGTATGATCTACATAATTTTAGACTTCTCTAGGCTTCTGCAGTTTGTCAGTATTGCTGTTGCACAGATGCCAATGTCAATTCATGATGCTTGTGATATGATGAAACCTGTAGTGTTTTGCACCTGGAACCCTTTTTTAGGGAAAAGGTTTTTTTTTGTTTGTTTTGTTTTTCTTCACAGTTCAAATTTATCCTCTTGGACAATATCCTCTGTAAGTTGCTACCATGGTAGACAGTGACAAGGGGATAAATATCTGCACCAAGATTTTTTTTTCTAGACAGTGCAGTACAACTTAATAACTGATATCTATATACAGTGTTTGTTCCCTGAAATCGGTTCAGGGAAATCTTTGGAGCTTTTTGAGACTTGCATTCAAAGTTACTAGTTGCAGTTTTTGTTTTCCTTCTAATTATCCATCTTGTCATTGTTTGTCTGCAATTGGTGGTATGTCATTAACACCTGGGGGGAAGAGCTTTGGAATTATTGCTATCGCTGTTACAAAGTTCAGTCAGCAAGTGACCTCGGTTCCATTAGGGCATCTAGTATTCTGTACCCCAACATATGCAGTCCATCTTCAGTGGTCTGAAGGCGGAAATCTTGATAGGATTTCTGAAACGTTATGTAAGTCTCACATGCAAGTTAAGTTTTTATTTATTTTTTGGTCATCTTAATCCCCAGAAGTCAGTGCATTTTGTCTTAATTAATTGAGATATCCCATCTCCTAGAACTGGAAGGGACCTTGAAAGGTCATTGAGTCCAGCCCCCTGCCTTCACTAGCAGGACCAAGTACTGATTTTGCCCCAGATCCCTAAGTGGCCCCCTCAAGGATTGAACTCACAACCCTGGGTTTAGCAGTCCAATGCTCAAACCACTGAGCTATCCCTCTGCAGATGTCTTGTACAGTACAATACAGGTTAACTTTCTAACTTATTTTCTCCCAGCGACCTTCAAGTCTTGAATTCCCATTACTTCCATTTGCTCTTCGCTGTTAGGGTGAGAAAAGAAGGGACACAAACATGCCCACCCAATTTAGCTGAGTCCCCTTTCTCCTCTCAAAGAAAATTTTCCCACTCTTGGAAAACACAGTCCTCTTTCTGCTAAGTTCCTATGCGATTTTTGGACATTTTGCTCCTCTGGTTGCTGCTCTCAGTGGGTCAGACTGCAGGGTAGGTTCCTTGTATCATATCTTCTGCCTGGGAGAAAACTAAACTGTTCAGACTCAGGCCATATCTGCACTACAAACGTTTATAAAGCCACCCTAGAATATCACTTGTGTGCATGCAAACTTGGCTCCTTGCATTGGCACTGCACTTACTCACCAGGAGTGCTTGTGGCATTGCACAGTGCAATGCACTATGGGTTGGTATCCCATTGTGCAGCTCGCCACCTCCAGTGCACTGTCTTTGGGAACTTTTGGCAATGCATGGTGGGGCAGAAACAAGTTAGCAGGCGTGACTGGGAGCAAGGGGTCAACTTTCCAGCATGCAACTTTGTCATGATGTCATCCATGTCCCTGATTTTTCACGCCTTTTTAAAAATTCCCACGAATCTGTGTGGCCTTCCTCGCTGTCCACCATCTCTGACAGAAGCATGGAGCCTGCACAGCGCAGCACTTTATTGTCATGAGCACTGCAAGCACAGGATGCACAATTCTCTGGTATTTGCAGAGTCACAAGAAGGAACTGAATCAGCAGGGAACAGACCAATTTCACAGAGGACAAGTTGCCGTGAGACATAGCTAGCAAGAACCAGTTCACAGAGCAGCTGCAGATGATGGAGTGCCACTTCTGGGCCCAAGAAAAAAGCACTGACTGGTGGGATCACATCATAATGCAGGTTTGGGATGATGAGCAGTGGCTGCAGACCTTTCGGATGCGCAAAAACCGTATTCCTAGATCTGTGTGCTGAGACTGCCCCAGCCCCTCCAGCACAAGGACACCACCGTGAGAGCTGCGCTGACAGTGGAGAAGCAAGTTGCAATTGGACTGTGGAAACTTACAATGTTGGATTGATACCAGTCAGTGGGAAATCATTTTGGAGTTGAAAAATCCACTGTGGGGGCCATTGTCAGGGAAGTCTGCAGGGCCATTAATTGTCTTCTGCTACACAGGACTGCGACTCTTGGCAATGCACCACACATAGCGAATGGATTTGCAGCAACGGGTTCCCAAACTGCAGTGGAGTGATATGAGGCATACACATCACTGTTTTGGCACCAGTCTACCCTGCTACAGAGTAGTACATCAATAAAAAAGGCTACTTCTGTATGGTTATGCAAGCATTGGTGGATCTCTGGAGACGTTCCACTGATGACAATGTTGGCTGGTAAGGGAAGCTGCATGACACACATCTTTAAGAACACAGGACTGTTCAGAAAGCAATGTCAGGGACATTCTTTCCTGACTGGCAGATTACCATTGACAATACTGAAATGCCATTAACAATCCTGGGAGACCCAGCTTACCAGTTCCTCACCTGGCTCATGAAGCTGTATACCGGCCACTTTAACAGCAACAAGGAAAGAGTCAACTACCAGCTCAGCAGGTGCAGAATGACAGTTGAATGTGCTTTTGGTAGGAACTCTGGCATCCTTACTCACAGATTGGCCCTCCGTGAAAAAAATATCCCAGTGGTCATAACTGCCTGTTGTGTCCTGCATAATATCTGTGAAGCAAAGGGGGAAAAGTTGCTGCTGGGGTGGAGTGCAGCGGTGGAGCAGCTGTCTGCTGAGTTTGAATAGCTAGACACACGGGCTATTAGAAGAGCTCAATGCAAAGATGTACAGCTAGGGAGGCTTTGAAAGAGCACTTTAACAGTGAACCACAGTAATGTGTGTTGGTGTAGTGTGATCTGCCTGCCCCTGCTGTTGTGGAGCCTGTTAGACGTTGTGTGGTGTCTGGTGTACCTCTATGAATATAACATTGTCAATGCACCTATTAATTTTGTGGTGTTTGCTATACATTATGATTGTTACACTGTTTGTCACTGAGCCTCTGAGTTGTCTCACACTACAGTAACCCTTGGTGCTTTCAATCCCACCAACCATTCTGGAGCATGTGTGTGACGTAATCAAGAGGAATTATTTTCCAAACACTAGAATTGTACAGAGTAATGAAAACACTGCAAAAGAAATTCTGTGCAAGTTAAAAGCAAATACATTTAAAAAAATCATAAATTTATGGACCAGAGCTTAAGAAGGGGAAAGAACATTCATGTCTATTTTAGCTACAAGTACAGCAACTGTGTCTGTCCCATGTCAGTAAATGTGAAGCTGTGGTTGTCCTTAATGTCCCCTGGTATGGAGTGGTAAGAGGTAGGGATGTGGCCTCTGATGCCATGTGGAATGCTGGCGGGGGGGAGGGGAGGGAGGAGGTCATGTGTAGTGAGGTGCTATAATGGAGTTTTCCATGGACTGCAAAGGGAGGTGAGCCCATGACTGTTGAACGTGTAGGTCCACAAGAGTCTGCAGCATCTGTGTTTTGCTGCTGGAGAAGCCCCATTACGTCCTGGTGCATCTCCCTCTCCTTTTCCTGCTTGGGCTCCTGGGCCTTTCTCCTGCCCGCTATTTCCATCTCCCTACAGACTGCAGCATTCACCCTCCAGGCCTTCTGCTCACTGATGCAGCACTGGCTTGCAGGATCTTACTGAACATGTCATCCCAAGTCCTCATCTTTCTCCTCCTTATCTGGCTCGGGCATTCCACAGATGTGGAGGGGGAACCCCTTAAGGCTGCAAGGCAGCAGCTACAGATCAAGTGCACAGAGGTACCATTGTCAGTAGTCACAATGGAAAGTGAAAGTTAAGATTCAGAATTCCCTTCCCTTACTCCCCTGAAGTTTTAAACAAGACATGCTGATTGATGCTTGTGCGTGGCACCACTCTTTGCCCCAGCCCTGGTGTGTAAGGCCTGCCAGGAGCAAGGGAAATTTAGGGACTTGCTCAGTTGCATGAAACTGAGTATAGGGCCATGGGAGTGGCACCGTTTCCACAGGCGGTGGTGTTTTTTGCTGATCTCTCCTGAGGGTGACAAAGGAACCGAGAGCACAGCTGCCAGGGCCGGCTCCAGGCACCAGCTTATCAAGCAGGTGCTTGTGGCGGCCACTTCGGAGAGGGGGGCACGTCCAGCTGTTCGGCAATTCGACGGACAGTCCCTCGCTCCTGCTCGGAGCGAAGGACCTCCAGCCGAATAGCCGCCACAGATCGCGATCGCGGCTTTTGTTTTGTTTTGTTTTGTTTGGCTGCTTGGGGCGGCCAAAACCCTGGAGCCGGCCCTGACAGCTGCTGCTTGGGTCCCGAAGCATTGCCCATATGCCACTAGCCTGTTTACCGCAACTGTGCTTGCCGAAGTTATCCCCAACTGGCGCAGGGAAGTATCCTACTGCAGAGGAAGAAATAAGGCGCTATCCCTAGAAACCTTTGGGAGAGGATTGCAGAGTACCTCCATGAAAGTGTCATCGAGATCTGTCAGGAGGATTCAAGGGCCATCCCTGTGTGCATAAACAAACTGTTCCGCATGACATCTCACCACCCCCGCACCTTTCCCCAGCCTAACTGTACAGGGGAATGAAAAGCAGATACCAACCCTGCGTTTTGTACTTCTACCTCTTCTAGTACAAGTAGGTTAATGAAAAATCAGTAGTTGTCCTGTTGAGTTGGGGGATGCTGTAAGTACATTAGTGTAATGGGAAATACATTTACACACTTACCCGAGAGTCCATCCCTTGCATCAAGGTCATCCATGCTCAACTGACTGGACTGCGGGGGAGTCCCAAACAGGTCCTGGCTTGCAGCATAGCTGAACCCACCAGTCGCATGTCCCCACCCTCTGCTACCTCCTTGTCCTGGCAGTGATTCAGGCTCTCAGATGTACCCACAGTGGTCTGTGGGGTGGTAGTGGGGTCTCCGCCAAGTATGGTATCCAGTTCTCTGTAACAGTGGCAGGTCTGCAGCTTGATGCCAATCAACCGTTGGTCTCCCTGGCCTTCTGATATGCCTGTTTCAGTTCCTTTGCTTTCATGCAGTACTGCTGCTAGTCCGTGTCCGATCCCTTCTCTTGCAATCCCTGGGCAAGCTGCTTATAGATGTCCACATTTCTGTGGTCTGTAGCTGCCTACACAGCTTCTCCTCACAGGCCCAGAAGATTTAATATCTCCTGTGTATTCCAGCCAGGTGTGTCTGGACCCAGCATGGTGAGCTGGGCAGTTGCACACAACAGTGGAGAGCAGCTAAGTGTGCCTAGCCAAGCTGGACAATCAGGAGTTTGCAGGGCTTCAAAGCGGGTGGGGAGAGTTTCTGGTCTCCATGATACCTGGGCATTGGAGTTCACAATTATGACCAGAGTAGTCAGTGTTGAACATTGCAGGACAGCTGCTGGAGGACTGTTAGGGTCGACCTAGGTAACACAGTGCCTATACTCGTGCTACATTGACCTCAGTACATCAACCACAGCTCACCTCTGCTCGAGGAGGTGGTATTAATGGGGTCCCTACATAAGTGGGAGATAAATTTAAGCATAGACACATGCACAACTAGGTTGATGTAAGCTGCCTTCCGTCAACCTCACTTTGTAGGGCAGACCAGGCCTCGGAAGAATGGAGACCTCCCTAGCACCATAAAGGAAACACTGTTATTAAAGTCCCTACAAGCTAAACTGTGAATGAAAATGATTCACTGAAATACTTCAGGCACCTTTTTATAAGTGTTTTGTGTCAGGTCAGTAAAATGTGACCATTAAAACATTGATTTATGCAGTTTAGCCCACTGTGAAATTTGTCACATTGCTTCATGAAAAATGAGGCTTTACTTATAGTGAAAAACAAGGCAGCCTTCATTTGTATTAATGTAGAGCCTTAAATATGCATGTTGCTTATAAGTTAGAGAACTGTTTGAAGAAAGACTCTTTCCCTGCCTTCCACATCTTCCCCCTTCCCACCCCCACCCCCAAAAAAATTGAGTGCCCTGCCTCGGAACTATTCCAAACTTGCCTGGCCTCAAGCTAGAATTTCAAACTTTGATTTCCCTTTGTGGAGGCATGACGCTCTGCCATTAGACTATTAAATTGGCCAGACAACTTATTTAAGAGAACCTAACCTTTTCTTGTGGGGATTTTTGTGTGCTGTGTTGGGAGGGGTATGTTAAATGGGTACGTAGTGGTAGAGGGGAACTACCTATTATGGTTCTGATGCTGCAGTTTATGGTGGGCTGTTGTGCCTGCATCCAGCAAATTTCAGCATCAAGGCCTACATGAGATGCAGTTACTGGATTCAAAATATCAGGCTTGTCCTCTAAAGGGCAAACACATTAACAAGTAACCTCTAAGAGTACAATAGCCAAAATTCTTATTAAAATATTCTTTTCAGTTTGTGCACTTGACATCAGTTCTGCTGTTACACTGATTTGTCAGCAGGGGAGAAACTAACTGAACATCGAAACTACTTAAACATTGAGGAAGAGCCCTTGAGGGGGGAGTGGAGGAAAATAAACTGCATGATCTGAATCTTTTTCTAGCGAGAAAAAGGAATTAAATTAGTAAATTACAAAGAATTCTTAGTGGATAGTGTCCCTTTACATCAAGTATTTGTATAGTGAAGCATTAATACCCTGTAAGTAAACGAGGGTTATGCTGAGTAGTGTTTAACCTGGTCTCTGTCATTTCTGTAGGATCACATGGTCCTTTGTTACCCTTACCAAGCCGGTACCGAATGGGATCTCGGGACACTCCAGAGCTTGTTGCTTACCCACTACCCCAGGCTTCCTCCTCTTACATGCATGGTGGAAACCCTTCTGGCTCAGTTGTCATGGTTAGTGGGTTGCATCAGCTAAAGATGAACTGTTCGAGGGTCTTCAACCTGTTCTGCTTGTACGGAAATATTGAAAAGGTAAAACATATTTTATTATGAACTTGGAAGCTGCTACTAATCCCAACTCAGTCTATCTAATGTTGGAATTTAAGGGCTGCAAACAGCTTATTTTCTAGACATAGAGTTATTGATACCAGGGAAAACTTTAAGTTGGCACGTAACAACTTTCCAGAAGAACTTGCAAAATTCTTACAGTAGAGGTTTCCTTTGAACTGCATTGTCACTTATTCCTGAACTATTTTAGGTAAAATTTATGAAGACGATTCCAGGCACAGCATTGGTAGAAATGGGTGATGAGTATGCTGTAGAAAGAGCTGTCACACATCTCAACAATGTCAAGTTATTTGGGAAGAGGCTTAATGTCTGGTAAATATGCAATTTATTACTGACAGTTCACTTTCAGGTGTGCTTTGACTGCAAAATGTCAGCCCCCTATTGCTACAACAACTGGCTGACTCTTCACAAAAATTTTCAAACAATTCAGTTGGAATAAGAATCTAAGGTGCTAAATAACAGTTACAAAATAGGGCATCAGAAAGGTTGTTGGATATTCAAGCTGTAAATCTGTAAGATATAAACCAGATGTACATGCACTATGCAATTTTTAACACTACAACACACACCTTGGTAAACGTACTTGACTTAACGTACAAAGACAATAGCTAACTCTGACAGTCATTTAATGAAATATTTTTATTGCCATATCTGTGAACCCTTCTCCAAGTATTAAACAAGGGAATCAATACTTTTTTCACATTGCTGCAAGTGCGTGTCATCTGTTCTTCTTGCCTCCAGACTCCTTATGTTAAAAGTATGATTATGAACAGTGTCAGTCGGAATAGGGGGGGTGTTTCTCAACTATGTATCTTTAAATCTCAGTGTGTCCAAGCAGCACTCGGTAGTTCCCAGTCAAATATTCGAGCTGGAGGATGGTACAAGTAGTTACAAGGATTTTGCTATGAGCAAGAATAATCGCTTCACCAGTGCTGGCCAAGCATCCAAGAATATAATCCAGCCACCCTCTTGCGTGCTACATTATTATAATGTACCCCTGTGTGTAACTGAAGAAACCTTCGTAAAGGTAGGAAATCAAAACTATGGTAGCGTACATTGGTATTGGGAATTACACAGTCTTTCTCTGTACTTTGAATAAGAAATAATTGTGGTAACTGAATGGTAACAATACTGATGTTTAAGCTGGAGCCCATTAAATGCTATATATGAACAGAGGCCCCTGTATTTTTGCAGTGCTTAGCATTGCTCCCTTTATGGAAAATCTATCCAGTTGAGCTGTGAAAAGATCTTTGTACTCCTGTCTCCTGAACCTGGAAATATGGCAGCTTTAACAAACAAAATGTGAGCAGCAAGAGCCAGAAATGGAGATGTTAGTGCATGGTTGTTTGAAGGGTAGGGTGGGGGAAAGGGAGAAGGTGGAGAAGATAAAACATGACTGTAGGTTACAAGGCATGGCTGAGAAGTTAACTAGGGATTTCCTAGTTCTTTTTAATGGTTGCTCAGTCATTTCTTCTCTCTCCATACCTCAAAGCTACCTCCATGCTTCATGTGGGTAATTGTGCAAATATTTAGCCATGATATAAATGGTTTAAAGTATTTACATTGGTGGTTTTGTTTAAAATGTTGACTACCTTCTTGTGCCTCAAATAGGCTTGGCAAGCCAGTCAATTGACCTGTCAATAATGTCAATTGAGCACCTATTTGACTATGGTTAAATATTTCAGTAGGAACACCCTGATGTACGTGGTGGCCTGCCTTTTTGATTGCATCATGGTGCCATCTGTTAGCAAGCTTATCTAAATGTCTTGATCACGCACTTTATTGCATGCTAATGCCACCTGTTTGGGGGGGAAAAGGTGAACTGACTGAAAGTTAAGCATCTTGATTGGCTGGAATCTTCTAGAACAAACATTGTGTGTGTGTGTGTGTGTGTCTTTCTTTCTTGCTTTGTATACCTGGCCACCAGTGTACATGCTGGTGGACAGAGCACATTAAATAAGTTTGAACCTGTTCCCTGCCTCGAAGAGCTTACAATCTAACCTGACTAGACGAGCATACAGAAATTAACTCTGAAGGGAATGATGAGGGAAGAGGAGGGTTCAGTCATTAGACCTCTTCCCAATACAGAAGATTTAATTTCATTTTTTTCTTTTATAACTATTCATTTTTAAATGTTAAATTAACATTTGCTAGAAAGGTAATTATTTCAGTTTACAGAACTTCATTTCATTGGGTTTCACGTTTTTCTGAGTTCAAATAATTCAGTTAAATACTCTTTTATTGTAATTAGACATAAGTATCTAAAGGCTAAGCCTATTGAAGACCATAAAGTCTCTTTTATTACTATAGTTATTCTAATAAATTAGTGCTTTAAAATATTTGACCATTTTTGACAATATTTAACCTGTTATTTTTGGACAGGTCAAATGCCCAACCCTAGCTTCTATCCAACTTAATGAATATTTTATTATATTCTGGTAGTGCACGGAAGCCCCAATCAGGATTGGCCCCATTGTGCTTGTTACAGTACAAACACAAAGAGCACATCTACACCGGAATAAAGGACCCATAGCATGGCTGCAGCTGGCTTGGATCAGTTGACTTGGGCTTGTGGGGCTAAAAATTTCTAGTATAGACATTTTTAGCCCCGCAGCCCGAGCCCCATGAGCCCAAGTCAGCTGACCTCGGCCAGCCACGGGTATTTAATTTCTGTGTAGACGTTCCCAGAGAGTTTACAATCTAAGCATGTTATAATTCTCCTGAATAACTTGTCTTGAAAATTACTGGAAATTCTCTCTAAGCTGAATGTTTGTTTTTTGTTTTGGGTGCCTGTACTCCCAGATAGTCAGCAGGTAGCATTTTGTGTTGGGAAATTATTATTTTCCCAAGTTTCTCACACATCTTTTACAGCAGAAGAGATCTTAATTTTTTCCCTTCAGTGTGTTCCACTTAAAATGCAGAGAATACTGCCCTAAATAAAATTACCGGTAAACTCTCGTTTGTCAAATACGAGAGTTTCTAAGCTAAGCGTCATTAGTCACTTCTTCAGTATTTGGGAATAGGCATTTTAATCTTAACCTTGGTCATATTTTCATCTCTTCTTTTATTCCTGTGACAGTTGTGTGATGACCATGAAGTTCTCACTTTCATCAAATATAAAGTGTTTGATCCAAAACGTAAGTATTTGTTTTTTAGATAAAGTTCATGTTTTAAAATTGTTCTGGGAGCAAGAAGGTCTGATTCTCTTGTTCTACCAGCTTCTGCCAAAACGCTCTCTGGTCTGCTGGAATGGGAATGCAAGACAGATGCAGTGGAGGCCCTCACTGTACTTAATCACTACCAGATAAGAGTCCCAAGTAAGTCATTCTATTTAAGACTTTTTAAAATACATTGCTGTTTAAAAAATGTATTTCTCTCTGATTTCCCCAACCCCCCGTTCATATTATATCTTTTCTATAAGAAGTGTCTCAGATGCAAATAATTCTGTGAAATCTGCAGCTTGAAAAAATAAAGATGTCCTTTGTGATTTTCCTTCATTATGTGCTCCAGTGACAAGGTTCCTAACATGTATTCCTGTGCTGAGAGCTTTCTCAGTAATGGGTGCCAAGATTTCAGTTGACTACAGGAATGCTGACAAAAATGGAGGTCCTTTAGAGTCTTGCTGCAGAACTCATAATATCTGTATAGGGATGGAACATGCTCAAAGCAATGAAGAGTCCTGTGGCACCTTAAAGACTAACAGATGTATTGGAACATAAGCGTTCGTGGGTGAATGCCCACGTCGTCAGACGCATGCATCTGACGACGTGGGCATTCACCCACGAAAGCTTATGCTCCCTACGTCTGTTAGTCTTCGTTGCTATTTACAGATCCAGACTAACACGGCTCCCCTCTGATTCTGGATGCTCAAACTGATTTCCCGTCACAAAGCTCGTTTCTGTCTGCGGCCATGCTCTCAGAAAGGGAATAAAGAAAACTACTGTAGTCAAAATAAAATCTACTGTCTGACTTAATAAAGGATTCTTAAATTTCCCAAATGAAAATAAATGGAGATATCTAACCTGTATATTCTCTGATAACCCCAGAACTCAAATATTGGCCAGTTTAATGACTTCTAAAAATTTAATTCATTACACCAGAGAGGGGCTTAAAACATTCAATTTGGGATTGTAAATATTCAACCTGCTGCTCTAAACAAAGAATTCTTATGCAGGTTTCACCTCTTCTAAATAAGAAATTATGGGGCCAAGTAAATCCAGTTTCGTTTCAAACTGATAGAAATGAGACTGGAGTTACCTGTATTTCTGTTTAAAATAGTGGGCCAGATTTCTGTGGAAGTCTGGAGTAACTGTTAAAGCAAATAGAAATGTTACAGATCTCATGGATGTGAGATCAAAATCCAGCCCCATATCTAAGGTTATTTTAGTTACAATTCTTATTGAAGCTAAAGGAGGAGGAAGTATCTTCCCTGCTATTCTACCAGTTTGAGGCAGTTGTTGCTAATGGAAATGGGTGTTTCAGATATTATGAGTAATACACTTTTCATTCTTTGGTATCTGTTTTTCTGTGACTTTTCTGGGAGACCTAATGGATAGGAAGGAGGGGGAAGAAAAATTTCCTCTGTCCTTTCTTAATACAGAATCAGCAAACTAAGGGAAAGACCTTGTTTTTCTTCAAGGTCAACAAAATAGTATTAAAACTTGAAGCGTTGACCAACATTTACGAAACTAATATTACCCAACGGGGGCTGCTCCACTGGAACAAAGCCCCCATGACCTCCCAGAGCTCCAAGAGTGCGCGGCTGTAGCAGCCCTCGGCAGCAGAACAGTAGCCTCAGGCAAAAGAGAGGGGAGAGTTTCCAAGAGAGGGGAGAGTTTTCTTGGTCAAGCAAGGATGAAATTCTGCATCCGATTTGCCATTCTGCCTTTGACAGCAGTTTCACTTTTCTCCTGCTTGTCACTTTCATTGAACATCCACCTTCTCTTGGCTTAGGAATCACCTTTGTAAATGTTGCTATCATAAATCCTCCAGTGGAGGCTGTTAATAATGGGGGCACTTTTTACTACATACTAGTCAATTTACTAGATGTTGTGCACGTATGTGTGATCTTAACTATCGTTTTATATGGCAGTCTAGAAAATGACACCATTCTATAAATAAGCCCTGTTTATTAGGGAACCTGTGCCTGGAGGCTTTGGAGTGCCTGAAAAATTTAAACCAAAAAACCCCAAAACACACCTCTGCTAAGCATGTCAGGAAGCCTATGCTCCCTTAACTGACACAATTGTATACAAGAAAGCTTATACTGAATATTTAATTTTGCCCTTGTTTCTCACAGATGGCTCTAATCCTTATACCTTGAAGCTTTGCTTCTCTACTTCATCCCATTTATAGAGAGAAGAAGAAAGCATGTTAGGCGCTACATTCACCTTGATTTGCAAGTTTGAAACTACATTTCATTCAGAAGCTCTGAAGTTGTTGCTCTAATGTTGCCTCGTTTCCACTTAATTCTAAGATCTCCTATCTTGTTTTAGAATAAATGGATGTTTCTTCATAAATACAGAATAAACCTTCTCTCTTTGCTTCTGAAGAGAACATGTTTGTTGTAAACTTACTACAAAAAGTTTGTTTTTCACTAAATTGTAATTAGTACCTACAAGTATTCAACCACCTTGTAGGTAGCTTATGCACAGATACTGTGTACCGTTCCAAACTTTAAATCTGCAATTGTTTTAATCCAAGAATGAAATATATTTGCGTTTTCAATAATGTTTAAAGGATTAGCAAGTATTTTTCCATTGTAGGCTTAATTGTCAGATAGATTCTACGTGAAATAGTTCTGTTTCTGGTTACATGTTTAGGTAACGAAGTATGTTGCAATTATTAATACTAAAAATAAGTTTGTATTTATAAAATGTTTTCATTAGGTTAACATTGCGCACATACTGGATTTTGAGTAGCATAGACTTACCTGATTTATATTTCAAAAAAGCTAGCATAGAGAAGACAATTATTCAGTCAATTTGTATAGTGTGCACTCAAATTTACTTAACATGGAGATGGTTTTTAAAAACCATTTTCCGTTTGCATTGGCATATCAGTCCATTCTTGGGTAACTTTTTTTTTTAAATTAAAGTTTCAGGCCTCAGTCAATGTGTTCATCTTCATTTACTTTACTTCCTGTGAATTTAAATTCTCAGTGTTCATGGAATCCTCGTGGTATCTTAAGGTTTTCTTATATTGCCATAATTTATTAACAGGTAGAAGTTTGATCCTGGCAAAAGAGATTGACATTGGAGGAAAGAAATGGGTTTTTCCCCTTGTAAGAGTATTTAACAAAACATGTCACATACTGGGAGACTGTTCTTAATTCACAGTTGGTATCCTTGTCCATATTGTTTATTTCCTTATGTCCGATTTAAGACTGTTTTGTCATGGACCAGAAAAGAAATCATACAGTCAGTAGGTCTGATTATCTTTCCACTTGCGCTAGTGTAAATCAGATACAACTCTGTTTGAATTCATGGAATTATGTGGTGTAAAATTAATGAGATCAGAATTGGCCCAGTTTTTCTCTGCCAGCTGGGAGAAAATGTGTTCCACTTCCCAGTGTGTAGCAGTGTACTTTCTCCAGTCACACCCTAACGTCATTTTATCCAACCATAGAAGTTAAATGGGAACGACCTACGGATTGGATCCTCCATTTCGTCTGTCTGCCAGTGCAGGATTACTCATGCAGTACACTTCCTAGTGTTTTGTGCAAACAGTGAGTGTTCCACCCTTCCCTACAGAGAAAATTCTGCAGCTTAAAGGATCTGCTTCTCAGTCTGTATTTATTGATATTCAGATTAAACTTTCCCCATTCTTAATATCAGGTTAGTTACACCATATGTCATGCCTCGCTGGCCACGAAACCAATAAAATACTTGGCAGCATTTGTACCTAGGTCTATATATTCCACCCTTTCCAGTAAAAAGTGCAGCCCACCCCAAAGGTTTCTCTTCTACCAGCCTGACCGGCCAGTAGAAACCTGTTCCTTTCTCACAGTAGTCCCCTTTAAGAGTTGTTTTAGTTTGCATTTCCTATTGGTATCAATGTAGTTCTAGCAGCTGAGATAGTTTGTAGTTTAGTATTAGAATAGTGATGCCACTTGATGGGTTTACAAGGTTTTCAGGATGAATTACAGTACCTTAAAGCATTCAGGTTTTTAAAAAATGCACCTTATATAATGGTAAAATGACCTCAGTGAACCACCATGTCTAGATGAGAAGCATCTTCCCCACAGCTGTTCAGCCTTGAGTGAGAGAGAAAAAGGAGAGCAGCCTCAAAGTAAAGCCTCTCAGAGGACGTTCTGTCAACTAGAAATCCCTTCACCCAAAATATCTGAGCAGTTTGTGCCTACGGGTATGTTTACACTTCAGTCAGAGTTGTGACTGCAGCATGTGAAGGTCGGAACCAGCTTGGGTATGTCTATATGAGTTGCACTCTGATTGCAATGTAAACTACCCTAAGTCAGGAGTGGATCTGAAATCCCAATGCAATTCTTCCCTTGAGAGTGTCATCTGGTCCATCAGTAATCGGAGAATCAGTCTGATTTCTTATTGCCATTTTGCCATATAACTAAACTGATGCATAGTGGGCCCTCCTTGAGCCTGAAACAACAAGTGCACCTATCAGAGATCAGAGATGGTCTCCTTATTCCACACACACACAGAAGTTCTAGATCATGTGTGGTCTGGTTCTTTTGAACAGAGACAAAAGAATGGGATGGTGGCAGGAGGGGGAGTGACGACAGGAGAGACTAAGATCTGTACAGAACATGAAGATGTTCTTGGCAGTCTCCTGTTCTGTCACATACTTGTTAGGTTAGATAAACTGAAGCACTGATGTCTTGCTGTAATTTTCCTGCCTTTTTTCACAAGCCTTATACCCAAAACATTGAACCTTGCCATACAAAAGACTTATTTTTAAACCATCCACACTCTCGTCATAAAACACCCACTACTGTGTTTTTCAATGTAGAAGTGAAGGATGGTGCTTTTAAAATCAAGCTTCAACTATAGACATATTATTGGAGGGGAAAAATAAAATATTGACAGAGAGGAGTTCATCCTGTTTTAGATAATTCCCTTATGATAAAAACAAAACCATACTCTAATCCTCGTTAAGATGTTTTCTTTACATGCAAGGATTAAGAAGGTTTAGTAGTCTTTGACTTCCCTGTGCTGTCATCAAGTTGTAGCTAAGGTGAATAATTTGAGGAGGGATTTAAAAGAAAATATTCAGGAAAATATGCTGTTAGGAAGGAATGATACGATTGAATGTAGTGCACTGAGTGTCAGTGGGGGGGGGGGGGGTTGGCCTGTGATTGGCTGAACTCCTTCCCTGGTTATAATTAAATATAATTTTCTCCTCTTCCTGCTGTGTGGGTTTTATTCCTTGTCTGCTAAAGTTTATTTTATTTGAATCTATTGCGTCCCAGCAGGAGGCATTTACTCTCTCTCCTATGCAACGGAGTTCTTAAATATAGCAACAATTAACACATGAGTTACAGTTTGAACCATTTTCCCACCCTGGGAAGTGCTTAGAACATCTCTTGCTTTTTTAATCCTTTGCACAGAACATAAATTATCCTCACATCTGCATCCACATTTCCTTCCTTTAGCACTTCACTCTCGTGTTTCTTTTGTAAGCAACATATGGGATGTTTGTTCTGAGCCACCAATTGGAGAAGTGATGCAATGATCTGGAGAAGTAGAGAAGATTTGCTTTGTGTTCTCCTGACTTTGGCCAATGTAACCTGCATTTGGGCTTAGTTTGCTGTGAATTGTTCCGCTGCTTGAAAACACCAGGAGCCAGATTCTGATCTCAGTTACATGAGAGTGCTTCCATTAAACTTCAGGGGAGTCACTCCAGAGTCACACAAGTATAAAAATCTGGTTTTGTACATCTTAAACTAGGGAATAAATCCTGCTTCCTATGTGTGAGAGTGCGTAGATCCCCTGGCAATGGAAGGGGTGCTTCTACCTTTCTACAGGACTGGAGGATTTGGGGGGGCCCATTGCAAGGAACATGTTCTGTTGCTGAACCTGGAACTGCAGTACCTGTTTGGGCCTGGGCCTGAGATTCTCCTGATAGCTAGCTTTTTGAGTACTTCCCCATTCATGGAGGACTGGGTATTCTAAGATTGGCGGAAAAGTTGTATGCTTTAAATTAATCTGGTCTTCCACCCAGCCCACCTTCTTATCCCTGGGGATTCTTTTCATGGAAAGGCATGGAGGAAGGAGTGTCTTGAGGGGAAGGTAGTGTAGGGGGGCCTGGGACATTTGGCTGTAATTCCTAGCTCCGCCATAGACTCTCTGACCCTGGACAAATCACTTAATTTCGCAATCTGTAAAATGGGGATGCGTCGTTTTCACCTTATGATGTATATGTACATACCTAGTAGGATAGCATCCCCTAGGTGCTACTGTAATGCAAGCAATCATCCAATGTGGTGAGGCAATGAAGTACTATAAACGTATGTCAGTCCTTCCTATAATAACAATATGTCGTCTCAAATGCAGGATTCTGACTTTGCTATAAGAGTGGAGGGAGGGAGGAGCTGACCGAGAGCAGGGTCCTATTCAAGCACAGAAATAGACCTGGATATTCAGACAGTGAGGGTGAGACCTTCCCACCCCCTGTATGTAAGGGTACGTCTATGCTTACCTCCGGGTCCGGTGGTAAGCAATCGATCTTCTGGGATCGATTTATCGTGTCTTGACTAGAAACGATAGATCGATCCCAGAAGTGCTCGCCATCGACGCCGGTACTCCTGCTCTGCGAGAGGAGTATGCGGAGTCGACAGGGGAGCCTGCCGCATGTGGACCCGCAGTAAGTTTGAACTAAGATAGTTCGACTTCAGCTACGTGAATAACGTAGCTGAAGTTGCGTATCTTAGTTCGAACTGGGGGGTTAGTGTGGACCAGCCCTAAAAGCCAAAGCTGAATCTGTAAATTTGGTGATGACAGATTGAGGGAAATGCCCCGAAAGAGAGTTGGGCCCTTTATAAGAATTGTTCTTCTTCGAGTGCTTGCTCATATCCATTCCATTAGGTGTGTGCGCGCGGCGTGCACGATC